GACTTTTTCTTTTGGTTGTAGTGAAAACAACAAAAGAATTTGCACTTTATTAAAAGGCTCTACACAGAAGTTACATTCCTCAAGCACACAAACCTAAGGTCAGCTGAACATGCCCAGAGCTGAGACTTTCCCTACTGTTTCCTGCTCCACCATAGCCAAACCTTTTCCAGCTGCACTTTCACTTTAGCCTTGGCTGTGTGACTTTTTAACAGCCCACGTAGATATTAACGCTCCCCTTCTTGCCCACATGTGCATTCACAGGATCGGTCAGCACCTTGCCTGGCTCATCCATGTGTACTCACTCAAACCATACTGGTGTCACCACTCAGGAACAGGCACCACCCAGGAACAGGCACTGTAAGTGCAGTTCTGCATCAAGAACCCATCTGACTTCTGCTCACCTAGACACGCGTGCATCAGTGAAACAGTAACAGTAACGTTCTTACAAATCTGTGCTGCGCATCCATACTCAGGAGCTCACAATCCTACTCACAGCACAGACACGTGCTGGACAAGGCCTTACACAAAGACAAAACCAAGCGTCTCAGCCCGTAGGTCCACATTCCTAAGCAGCAAAATGACTCCAACTGAACCCGCTCAGCCCACGCTGGAAGCAGAGGCACTACTGAGGACGGGCCGCCGCCCGAGCTGTGCACACAGGGCAGTGCCTGCTCCGTTCTGCTGCTCACCCGGGGCCCAGCGGCACCGCCTGCGCTCAACTTCATAACACAGCGAGCTCCAGGAGGGCCCACGGGCAGCTCCTCCGTGCAGCATCTGGCGTTTGACCTATTATGTCACCGTGCTACTTACGTACTGCAAACACAACATAAGCACATTCACTGGCGCGTTTATTAAGTGCTTTTCACTAGCAGCTTTGTTTAAAAAGGCGTTTGCGATCGTACCAAAACGGCACTACGTGCACCAAGCGAGAAGGCTGAACAAAAGCTCCCGGGAGATCCATCCCCGGTCGTGCGGCGCGGCCTGGCGCAGGGTGCCACGCTTCCCGGAGCCCACCGCCCCTCAGCGCTGCGAGAGTGCGCGCGTTCGTGCGGTCGCGCACCAACTCCGGAGTTCCCGGCCACTTACATCTGCGGAAGATTAAAACGGGGGCGGCCGGGACACGTCCCAGCGTCCGCTCGCAGGACCTCCCTGAGGAGATTACCACCCCCACCGGAACGAAGAAATAAAATTAAAGCCGCGAACGGCGCAACAGTGGGGGAATGAAGGGGGGGGGGGGGGGGGGGGGGGGTTGGAGGAGGGGGCGGGGAAGCGCTCCGGGCCGAGCGCCGGGACCGGGCCGCGGGCAGAAAGGCCGCTTTGTTCGCCCTGCCCGCGGCGGGCGGCCCGGAGCCGGGGGCGGAGGGGTGGCGTCACGCCGGTACGTACCGCAGCAGGAGACGACGAGGAGCACGAGCTGCGCGGACTTCCAAGCCGGGAAGCGTTCTGCGCTCCCCCGCGGGGCCATGCCACCAGCCCGCGGCACAGCGACGAGAGCACGACCCGCCGCCGCCCCCCAAACGCAGCCGGAGCCGCCGCCGCCGCCGCCGCCGCGAGAGGGGCCGGGCACAGCCCCGTCCCGCGCCCGCCGGAGCTGCCGCCTGGGGAGCGCTAGCGGCCCGCGCTCGCGCGCCTCTGCCTCCCGCCCGCCCGCGGAGCCATGAGCCGCCGCCGGCCTCGGCCTCCTTCCCCCGCGCCGCGCCGCTTCCTCCTCCCCGGCTGCGCTCCGCCGCGGCTGCGCACTGGCGGCCCGAGCGCATGCACTCGCTCCCGGCAGCCGCGGGCCGGGCGGGCGGAGCGGCGGCCCCAGACGGCGGAGGGGGGGGGGGGCGGGCGTCCTGTCCCCGCCCCGCCTCTCTCTCCTCCTCCTACAGCCGCCGGCGGGATTCGGTTGGCTTTCGGCTGTCTCGGAGTCGCCGCCGCCGCCGCCGCCGCCGCCGCCGCCGCCGCCACCCAGCCGGAGCCGCGTCCTCGGGGCGGGCTTGTGACAGAGCCGAGCTGAGGCGCGGGGACGCCGGGCAGCTGCTACTGCTCAGCTACAAAGTGCGTTTATGGGCGAGACCAGGAACTGGTGTGCGAGCTGAAACGTAACTGCTGTAAATGCACAGCATCCGACACTGCCGACCCCCAAACCGAGCCTCACGACACTGTAAATGTCTGTGTGTGGTTACCAGCCCTGCACCCACAGATGACATTACTTTCTCGTTCCACAGTTACCTGGCGCTCTCAGATACTTGAGTATCAAAAACAAAGTGAGATTCACAGTGCGATTTCTATATTTGTCTTGAACCCTGTAGTGTGTGTTGCAGACTTGGAGAAGTGTTTATTGCCTGAAGTCTTCTCAGTTCTACGGTGTGAACTGATTCATTTGAAAAGTAAGAAATTACCATTCCTGACAAGAACAAAAACCACTGGCACAAGTAGGGCTCCATCCGTACGTCTTGAGAACAGATGTCTGGTGTCAGAGCAGAGCTCTTGTTCCACAGAAGGTGATGGCTGTGGAGAGTGCTTTATACTATTTTTCTTTATTCCATTCTTCATTCACTCTTCTCTGATTTCTCCCATGTTTATTTCTCAACCCCTACCTTATTTTGGAAGGAAGTACACTGGGTGTCTTTCTGGGGGACAGGAAATAGGCAGCTTTAAGGATGAGCATCTTGAAGAAGATGATGTGTCAGTGATAGTCACCAAAGAAGGTAGGCAAACCGGACAAGCCTGACACTGGGAAGCTGTGGCTCAGGAACTCCCCGAATTAGAGATGATATCATCAAGTTTAATGGCCCTCAGTGGAATAGGCTTTGGTAAATTCATCAAGTGAGCAATGTGCTTGTTCGCCTCTCAGAAGCCATTAAAAAAAAAAAAAAAAAAAAGCACTTTAAAGGAAACATAACCTTTATTTACAGGTTTATACAAATGAGTAAAGTATTCACAATGTCTTTGCCATCAAATTCCTTTTCTTTTTCTACTTGCAAGTTTGAACAACTTCTTCAGTGAAATCTCAGATGTCCTGTTTTCCACCCAGTGTATCTCGTGCCTCTTTTTGTTGATTGTCAACCATAGGGCAGTGGAAGGATGCTCAGGAAGTCTGATCTGTAGACTCTGAGAAAGATACTGCTGCCCCCACGAACAGACACGACCCAGACCCCACGCACACATGCAGACCTTGGACCCTCCCACAGTAATTGCAGCTCTGGGTGCAAGTCCTTACTGGAGCTCGTTAAACTCTCTGCTGCAGGGATAGGTCAACTTTGAACAAACAAATCAGCATCACATGACCCATAACCTTTCTCTGCTTCTCCCGAAGTTATTTTTGTCTGCCTAGTTAAACCCAATTTCAGCCACCCAATTGTGTGTTACTGAGAGATGTGATACGATATGATTCCATAGACTTCTGTTGCACAACAAAGAAGACATTAATTATCTTTTCAGATTAAATGCTGTTCCAAAGATCCCTGTTGGCAAAACTGTTTTCAGTCACTCACACAAATAAGTGGTTACCCTTTATCATATACCCACGTTGATCATTCATGGCAGTGGAGAGCAAAACACAAACCTCTGGAATAATTTGCTTAATTTTAACATTGTCTTCAAAGATGCACAGCAGTTTTTTTCAAAAGACTCCTGCTGCAGTACTAAACAAGCCTGGCAAGCAAAAGGTGAGATACTGATGTAATGAGCGAAGGAGAAACTTCTGCAGCAGCAGTTTGCCTGCTTACAAGGTGACCTGGATTTTTCAACTCCAGGGAGGAGAATGTGTTAGTAGGTCCAGACAAGAGGCTTATGATGTCAAACAACACCTTTCCATGTAGCCCCCTTTGCAAGCTCACCAAATCCATGAACTTTAACACTGAAAGATTTCCTTCCTGGCACAGTTATCTGTGAAAAAAATCTTACTGCTACTTTGCTGCTCCTTCTGTTGGCCTCTGCCAAGAGCTGTCTGTCTTAATCTCTTTGATGTTTAGGGGGAATGGTATCATTTTCCCTGTGTCAGAAAAGTGCTTAGTAAATTGTATCTATATACAGAGAATTCCAATTATAACTGCATAGATTTTTTTTACTCTAATCTGAAGATTACTAATAAATTTTTATCAATAGAATTAATTTCGAAGCTAGCACAAAAGTTGGCAGTGTCTTTTCCTTTGGCATTTTAAGGCAGGTGAAGATAAATTATCCTGAAATTGCACACGTGATTCACCTTGAACTAAACCCAGACTGTCATAACAGTCAATTGTTCTTTTGCTTGAAGCTCAAGGTTGGCATGTGAAGCAACCAAAGCAGCTTGACTAAGAATTACCAGCAACTCACTGATTCTATCTGTGCTGCTTCTTCCTGTGTAGCTCTACTTTCAACATTGTTTTCTTGTCAGTGATGAGCTTTTCACAGCCACTTCACCTTTACTTATTGCCTATCTTCTTTCCATCCTTGCTCTTTTTTTTCTCTTCATATCCCTTCCTCACCAGTTCTGCCTTTTGTTTGTCCATTTAGACTATGCTGTTAGCAAGTGCCACCCACAGATCTAACATCAGTTTCTTGAGCATTGTAAAAGTTCTCCCCAGTTCATTCCTTTCTCCCTACTCATCCTCTGACTGTGAAATGGCAGGAGACAATCTCACAGCGTGCCTATAACACCAAGTCCTGTTCGGGCTCGTTTGAAACCATTTTAATACACAACAAAATGGGGGACAATCCAAGATGTTGAGTAGATCTTGGCCAAATGAAGTAAGAGTAGCTTTCCTTTTACCCACCTCATTACTTTTTGCCCATAATCTCTCTTCAGGTGAGCTCATAAGAAACAGTGATATTTTCAGTACAAGATTTTAATTTTGGTTAAGACCTCTACTGTGTCTGAAGTTTCTTCATCTGATATTTGAAGAACAACTCAAATATACTATCATAAAAGGCACATCACTGGAATTCTAAATATTACTTTATGATATTATTTCTTTCTAAATCATTTATTTACAATATTAAAGTAGAAAAGAGTGGGCAGCAGAAGAAGCGGGTCTCTCTCTCTCAGATCTGCATTTATTTTGCAGCACACTGTATGAAGACAGGCACAAAAATGACTTACTTCATCTATTCAGTGATTGTTTCTTTACATAAACAAATATTTGTTTGCCTAACAGTTATTTAATCCGTACTAACTAACTTGATTTTTATTCAACATTAATTTCAGCACTGGACCATAACCACCTCAAGTCTGGAGTGCCCTACATGAATGACTTCACTGCAAAGTGATGAAAGACAATAGAAGAAGGTGCCAGAAATGTCTGGATCAAGTCCATTGTGTTAAAAATATATTGCATACATCAGAATCTGATTGCATTGTGCTCTTGTACGTACTGGTATTGCTGTTGCATGCTGGAAAAAATACATCAAATGCCTTCTGTGATCATTTACTTCCCTGGTATTTATAATTAGAATCACTGTGCTGTTTTGAGGCCAATCAAGAATATTAGCCTATTTTGCTAAGGACTGTATAAACATTGGGCATTTTGTACACTGGGCAGTGGAAAACAGTCCAGCTAACTGTCTCAGCTAACTGCAAAGGAAGTATGTCTGCAACCCCTGACAGTATAGCTGCATCATCATGGCCTTGCACCCAAATTAATTCTGTAGGGCATATTAGTATCGGCACTGTGCCCCCTTGTCCCTACGATTCACATCAGTTTTTTTCAAAATGTTGCAGAGCACTTGGAATAAGTGAGGGCTCTTTCCCCTGCTTTATCACCTGAGGACTATGGGTCTGTGGGCAGCTTGTGAGCTCTTTCGCCTGAAGTCTGAACACTGCTGCTGGATTTCCAGCAGCAGAAAGAGATTTGTATACCAACAAGTTTTAAGAACTACCTGCCAATTTTCTTAGCTAACTTAAAAGGAATTAATGTCTCTAATGTAACAGTCATTGTTTTATCTTGTATGTCATATGAATTTAGACTCTCATACACATATCAGATATTATGCTTTAAATATTATTACAAGTGTGTTATGTTCAGCTAACTGTCTAGATTGAGTGGTGAGTTGTAGTCGCAGGCACCGTACCCTCCCTGACAATAATAGCACTTCTGTCATATGCTGCATGAATGGCTGTTGAGTAACTAGTTTTAGATATTTCTGGCAAAGCTGCCCAAGCTTGTTCATTTACGTTGCTGCTGCAAGGACAATCCAATGGAAATGACTTCTGTTTGGAATAAGCCTTGTGAGAAAGCGTGACCTAATGCAGCCTGCAATTACAGCACACAACATAGCGCTTAAATGAGTACCTACAACCTGCAGTAAAACTTCTTTCCTTATTATCACTTAGGGCAGCTGAACTCTTGTTGCACTTTGGAGCTCAGTGGCAGGCAAAGACCAAGAAGCAAAGGGATACCCTCGTTCCTCTGTTGGTATCCTTAATACCAGACCCATGAGTGGCATAAGAATGACTGTGTTAACATTATTTTGCTACAGGATGTAGTACTATGTACTAAATAAGCAGCTGTGATTATCTAAACTGGTGGAACAACATAAAAAAATAACAGAGCCTGTAGTCACACCACATCTGAGAAGAAAATCTTGTCTTTCATTGGATTTAGCTTCTCAGGAATAAGAAGAATCTGCTTGCTGATACCTGAAAAAAGCTTCTGTCAGTATTCTGTCACTAAAATCTCTTATAAAACCATGTTTTGTTGTTGTTGTTGTTTTAACATCTATACATATTACTCTAGAAAATATCATCAAAAAGCTGTGTGCACACATGCGCGCGTGAAAGGATAGCACCTGAGCTTGAGGTCTGGACACTTGGTAAAACAGTTTATAGGCAAAACTGTTTATATAACAATCAAGTAATTTGGAGTAATTAACCAGTCACAGAAAGTGTGCAACTTTGCATCAGATTCACAGAATTCATAGAGTCACAGAATGAAGATCCAAACTATTAGCGCTATTTCAGTTTTAGAGCAGACAAACCTGAGGACCAAGGGAAGAAGGAAGAAAGAAGAACTGAATATTCCAAAGGAGAGAAAAAGCCAAGAGAGAAGACTTAATGATTAAAAAGAACATAAAAAAATCTCCTCAATACAGACAGAACATTTCATAAACAGCTTTCAAAACCTAAGAGGCTAATTAGCTACTGTAAAAGGAGCTATTAGAAAGAGTACATCTTTTTGTGTTGCATTTTTCATTTTCTAAATTCAATTTATTTTTTCTTACACACAATTTTTGAAGCAATTATTTTTTCAAGCCGCATACTGACACTGGTAATATTCTTATTTTTAATTAGGTTAAATTAGAACCTGCACATGCATCATGTCCCCGCTGCTCGTTAAGACAGAGAGATGAAGTCTGAAATTGTGATCTACTTTTAATACAATCCAAGAAGAAAAAAAAAAGCGGAGTAAACTCCAGTTTTGTATTGGTAACTATGCTCTACAGGCAGACAGTTCTGGAAGAAAATGCAGCCAATCTGATGTGTTAATATTTTGCTCAAAGAGATTTTTTTTCTTCTTTTGTTGAGTCCAGTTAATCTTTAGCCACAGTTCCAGATCATCCCTTTGCTGTGCACACCCTTGACACCCAGGTGAAGGACTTCAAGTTGGAGGGCAGAACTTCAAGCAGAGGAGCTCTGCGTTGCTTTATTGCACTTCAGAGTGTAGTCGTACTCTGATTCCAATATGTGGTAAAAGTGATTTCTGCAGTTCTCCAAAACCCAAACTGAAGTATGTTGTTTTTCTTTCACAGTAGCTGGATTGCTCTTTTAATATTCTTAACAGATTTTGCTTGGCTTAGCCGTACCTAATGCCGTCTCACAGATATGAGTTACAATTTGGGGAATAGCAGACAGTGCATGGTTTTAGAGAGCACTGGTTGTGACTGCTCTGCAAAATAGCTGGTAGTTTCAGAGGGAGGAAGTTCCCCAACAAGGACCCAACAAGGCATTCAGAGAGGGATTACATTACTTTGTTGTTATTCCTCTTTTCCACTTTTCCATTCAGTAAGAACCAATGTTGAGAATCATAACTTGGGTCGTAACACAAGTGAAATTGATTTGGCAGGACTAAGCCTATTCTTAATTCCTAAAGAGATGATACTTCTTAGGTGAGGGTTAGTGAGAGCTGTCAGTCACATCACCTAACTGTAGCCCCTGAAATAAACCACAGGTTAGCCAAAGATAAGGAGAGAGCTTCCAAGATGCTCTCAGTTGCTTACTACAGACACAGTAATTGACTGGTTTGAGCAAAAGCCTTTGAACGAGTATTACGTGTTTCCACTTAAACTTCTGAGCATGAATTATTATGTCAAAGGTCCAAAATGATAGCAGGCATACATAAACATGTATATAAATATGTGCTATATTCTAATTCAGAAATTTATAATTTACATTATAATACACATCATTTCAAATCTGGGCACCTTAATATAATAGTGCCAATTCCAAACAGTCTAGGAGTCATTCTGGGTCTTGGGCCTCCTCTCCAAATCACATGGTTATTTAAAAATCATGAGACTCTCAGTAAGACTTTGTGTATGACTTGACTCATAACACTTGGCAATGCCATCACACACTCACTCCTTTTAGCTAAGTCGAACACCTTGTGGTAATATGTTAAGAGTGCCAGAGATCTGTAAAGATCTATAAGACCCCAGGATGAATGTGAACGTTTTAACTATGAAGTGTGTGCAAAACAAACACGTAAAGTAGAACTAAAGGCAGGTGTTTTTTTATGTTTGGCTGGTTGCTTTTTAGTTTGTTTCCATTTGCAAAGGCATTTTTTAGATCCTACTAGTCTACCCTGACCAAACTAACTTTAATTTAAATCCATGATATAAACATACCTTTATTTGTATATTTGGACCAGTATGAAACTGCAGAGAAGATACAGAAATTACACTTCAGGACTATTTAAAACACAAGTAAACATGAAGAGAAGGCTAAGATTATGACATCTAGATTTTGTAACCCTCTCTTCAGAGAACATACAGCACATCTTACATCTGGTCAGTGGAGCTACAGGAGTAAAATATGGCCTAAGTGTTTGCATTCCATTTACATCTTTCTGTATGCCTGCTTTAAGTGAGAGCAGGAAATCCATTGTAAGTGAGAGCAGGAGTTGATTTATACTGTAGTTTTCCACTGTGCCAGACAGTTTTGTGCTTCAATTTTCCCTTTCAAGCTTTAGTCCTACTATGTAACATTGCTTATTTATCGTAAATGATGTTTTCGATATATTATTGTCTGGCTTGTAGAAATCTTTGACACACCCCAGGTGGGTGCTGTAATGTTGTTTGTGGCAGTATTCAGAGATTTTAGAGCTAGAGGCTGTATCACAAACTGCAGGAATTAGCATTGTTCCCTGAATGAAACGAAGCTCTACTAATACCAGAGTTTCCTGAAACCATGCTTGGATTTAGCTCCAAATTTTCCATTTGTGAAAAGTTCAACCATTTGCTGAAGTTTTGCTTCTCTGGAAACAGACAGCTGGCTTTTACTCCCTGGAAAAAAAATGATTACAACTAATAGACAAAAGGTTCTGTTTGTTTGTTTCGAAACAGCTGCTTCTAATCTACCTTGGATTTCCTCTAGTATTACAGTATCAAGGAGGACGTGAGCAAACAAACAAGAGGACAATGAGATCCTGAAGGGCAGATTTCCAACACCAGAAAATCCACTTGTAGAGGATTCAAATGTAATCTGATGCAATAGCAATGTAGCTCACTGCAGTCATTTATTATATTGTCCTTTAGCTCCAAATGTACAGAATATTTTTCTAGTGAGCCAGCATAATTGCATTGCAGGAGATACCTAGGACTCGATGGATATTCTGGCAGCTGGGATCATTGCCTTCTGAACTAGCATGTGAGGCTCTTAAAATTCAGGATAGCATCGTTATTTTTCACAGTGTTCACATTTTACTTGTTTATTCACTACTGTCCAGGGCAAAAGGATAAAGACAAAGGCTCTGTCAATAATAAAGCCTTCATCATTATCTGCAATCCTGTCCCTGATGGCTGCTCCATGTCACAGAAACCCAGCTAGCTGACAGTGAACACCCGTCCCTCATTTCATTCCCCAGCGCCACTCTCTCCATTCATTGTGGATCTAGAGCTGGAAGGATAAAACTGAGAGGAAGCCAGTATTTCCTCACACTTAATCTGTGTGTCCTGAGACAGTATACACTCTGGCCATGCTGTTAATCTCTAAATCCCCTAAACAGATAATACTTTCTACAGAAGCTGCTGTAGACACTGAGAAGAAGATAAAACTCACTTGGTTGCTACCTTGGAAGACTTCAGCTTCCCAGGCTGAACATGAACATAAAGCAGGAACAAATCCCTGTCTTGGTCTAGCAATTTCCTCCTGTGTGAAGAGATAAAACCTGCTGAAAATAGGAGCCGAACCATGAAACTTCATTCCAGCAATCTGGGATGTCGAGAGACCTACCAAGACAACTTTCAGCTTTGCTGCTGCTTGCAGGGACTTTGCTGGTTTCCCCTGGGCTTGGCACCAGCCCAGCACCTCTTGCTCGGAGGAGTAAGGTGTCCCTGACAAAGGAAAGGCCATTAAAATCTCCGCATATTGTGGCAACTTTCCAGTGAGCTCTAGAGTTCTGCTCATCAGTTACTTATTTTCTGCTCTTTAAACCAGCACCACGGAGAAGTGAAACGTATCACATAGCTTCTGGTTTGCCGCCAACTACAGTGACCCATTAAAAAAACCCAGGTGAAATTCTCACTCTGAGTACAGACAGCTCTGCACAGGATGGTCCATTCTGCCCGTAAGACCTTTGACAATCTGTAGCATTTAGATTTTGACAGAAGGAAATAGGAAAAGGAGGTCAAGAATAATTCAAGATTGGAGTGCTGTTGACAGGACTTCTCCAGGAGCTGGCACAAAGATCTTGTTTGACAGGGGGCTATATTGAGAGATAACATTATGAGTGTGCCACAGTTAGTCTCAGTGTTCTGAAAAAAAAAAACCAACAAAAAAACAACCAAAATCTTATTGAGTCTAGTTTCCAAGGTAAAGAATGAGATAGCACTCATCTTTTCCGTGTAAGCTGAGAAGATGTGGATGGTGGATGTCCCACAGCAGGAATGCATGGTGCCAAGGACTCTGATTTCAAGAATACCTTCAAATGTATGGTAAACTCAATTAAAGAACCGTGTCCATAGAAGACAAGTACAGTCATGAAATGGATGTCAAGAAATTCATTGCAATTTATTGCAACTCATTAATAGAAAGTCTATTTATCTGCATTCTTAAAAACAAACAAACAAACAAACAAAAAAACTGAGGGCAGCACAAAAGAAAAAGACACATCCGTGAAGTAAAGATTCATGAAGAGGAGATATGCAAATACCCTGCATTGAGATAAGGCCTCTGATTCATTTTAATGCAGCCATCAAGCTTCATCTCCTGGGAAATGCTCCATGTATAGACTTGCACCAAGCACCTGGAAATCTCTGGAGTGAAATTTATAGCTACTAGTGCAAATTGTTTGCAAATTAGGCTTCACTGGAACTTCAAGCTTTCCCCCTCCCCTCTGGCCTTTATTATTTCCTCTCCAAGAAAACCCCCCAGCCCACAAAAGGAACATACAAACATTTTTTATTTTTTATATACATATAAATGATGCATGCATGTACCTATGAAGGAAAAAAAAGTACTTTGAATTGCAGTGCATTCAAAAGTGAATATAATTCAGCAACAGATTCACCTACAGCCTTTATTCTGTTGTTCGCTACACAGCATTCTCCAGATAACAAATGACTATTTATTCTCTTACTGCTCTTAGATGGCCAGCACAAAATATTCCTAGTGTCAAATGGTTTATTTTTTAAACCTGTTGCTTATCTGTTCAAGACATGTTGTTTGGAAGCTGTATGTGTAGAGTAGAAACCCCTTGACTAATAATTATAATTAAGTAATGAAGATTATGTCACTATATCTGGCGATCTGGCAGGTAAGGGAATACATTAAGAAACAGAATATATAAAGATGAACAAGTCTAGAAGATATGGATCCCATAGTCTTCTGAGAATTAACTAATAAAATTACTGAATGACTTGTAATTATATTTTGTACTCTAAGGGAGTGCCAGAAACATGTCTGAGGAATTGGGAATGAAAAGATGGATTGATGAAAACCATTGTTATATATAAAGAAATACTAGTAATTACAATTTGCTAAACATATCTTGAGCTATAATAAACTTAATTAAGGTAATAAATAAGAAAATCCACATGTACCTACACTGGTGAGGACTAAAAATAAGGAGTCAGTGGACACAGATGCGGAGACATATGACACTTGGATATTTTAGTGCGGATTTTGATCAGGTGAGTTTTGATACAGCTATAAAATCTCATAGGACTTAAAAGCTTTGGAGAGGTGACCAGTCCTGTATTCAGCAGCAACAGGAGTTTCCTTCTTCAGTTTGATACTACAGTGGTAACAAGTACAATTATGTAGTTAAATACAGCAAAAGCCTTCATTTAAAAGAAAAAGAAGAAAAAGACTTTAGTCCAATTTTGATATACACGTTCAAGAAAACTTTCCAATTACCTTGAAATAGCATGGGCAGAATTCTAGATGAATTTGAAGTCAATAACAAAATACCCATGAAGTCCTGGGGGAGCAGACAGTATTTGAAGCAATTTTATTTAACACATATTTTTATATTTTTATATTGCATCTCCTGCCATGGTCTGTAGGTATGTTGTAAGGGATTAGGGACACAGCTCCCACCACATGTGGTCGCTCAGCTGCTCTCCTGGGGCAGGTGTTCATGTGTGCCAAGTGGCATGCTTTGTTCTGGAAGTGAAATGGGAATACCCTGCCAGATGACTTGATTGGTTCTTTACCGAAACACTGCAATGCATGTGAATGCAGGAGATGAAGTGCAGCTGGAATCAGGCACACATGCCATGTGGCAACCATCCGGAATTGGCCACTGCAGGGAGCTATACAATTATGCCAGTGTGGCTGGCAAGGAAAATGTCTGAGCCCATACCCATACACCTCCTCAGCACAGTGACTGTGCATGCACTTAAATCCTGGTGTGGGCTGTACTAGCAACCAGCGGCTGCAACAAAAAGGGAATTTACAATCACATTTCACTTTCATAGCATTACACTGTCAGTCTTACAGTGCCAGGTTATCTGACCTATATTTCATCCTCTCCAAAGTAGCTTAACTTGTGAGAATATCCCTCTGAACATTTTTTAATTCAGCTCCTTAGCTGGTACTGATTGTACTGCAGGAGCTCTGAGTTTTGCCACAGGTGGAATGACTTCTTACATTTCTTTAGCTAGCTCAGCAAACAGTCATTTAAGAGTAATTACCAACAAATTAAAAAGTTGAGTTACACGTTACAAAAATACAGAGGGGTTGTATACAGTGTCTTAGTCAGGAAAATAGCCTTCAAAACAAGACATCATCAAAGACTGGTAAATTGAAAGTGTAAAACAGCTGTTAGATAACCAATTTACCTATTCATCTGCTGTCATAATAAAAAAATGAACAACGAAACACAACAAAACCCAAAGTACTGCTGTAGCTGCTCACTGATGTAGTGCAGAAGATAGAATTTCAGCAATTAGATGTTATAAAATGAAATACAGTAAATACACATAGAGAAAATAATAATACGTATGTATAAATATAAATAAAAGAAATAAAATGCCAGTTTCTGAATTTCAATGGATACCAGTTTCTTAATTTCAATAGACTCTAAAGGCATGCAAATGAAAATCTCTCAATGCTTTTATTGTACTTATTGTTTAAACGTTGAACTTAGAGATTACCTTGCTGGTTCTGTACAGCACTAAAATAACAGATCCATCGTCTTATGTTTTGCAAATTTGTAGAGTGCTGGTAATAGCTCTGATGTAGACTGTCCTTGAATTCTGTTTTTCATTGATCTTAATACAAAGGAAAAAGGTGCATTTTGTTCCACTGCAGCAGACATTTTAGAAAAGAGTTAACAGACTCAATAGTCAACAGAGCTTCATTATGAATGTAAGAATATTAAACACCATCATATTTAGTTGTTACAATTATTAAAACGCTTGGCTTGTGTGTCATGAACTCCCTGCAGGGTAACCCAAGTTCAGCATTATGTAAACAACAGCAGTTTTCTTAGCAGGGGAATATCTAACGTCAAACCATGAAAATATTCAGTGTAAAAGAACAAACAGGATTGTTCCCTCCAATCTGTTAACATACTGTGTTTTAAAAGTCAAGATTTTCCATACTAGCAGCTACAGTGAAATCCTACTTAGCATATTAAAGTAATAGATAGCTGCAGTATCACACGCATAACTCAGTCTGTTGACTACTATGGATAGCTCTTCCACTTGCAAAAATTTCTGTGTTATAAATGTACGATGGCAACAGTCCCAGAATTAAAATATTATCAGAATGACACCGTAGCGAGGATTTTAATTTAAATTCTGTCACAGAATATGAAAACTTCCTTCTATAAACAGTAATAGGTTATATGCTTCCAGCTTACAAATAATAATTAAAAAATGTTTTTAAATGTAGTTCATCAGTATTATTACCAAGTCAGATATTTGCTTCAATTCTTCTTTCAGTGTTTTCCTGTGTTCTGTTCAACTGAGGTCTCTTTCCTTCTGTAAGGAACCTTCACACTCACACCTACTGTAAACTTTGTGGCAGTAAGTGATCCGATTGCGCTTTTAGAAATTGGAATCTAAAGGACTTTCACATAAAATCAGATAGCTCACGCTCCTGCTTTTTGTGCCATGGATAGTTCTGATACGTGAGCAGCAGTGCTCCATGCCACAGCTCTGCCTCTGAGCTGGGACAGCCACATTTCTTCCCAGACTTGCTGTTCATATTTTTCTTAATCCACCTGTGAAAAGGAGTACTCTTTTCATTTTGAGGGGATACACTGTATAATGTGAATATAAATAAATGTTCACAAATTCAGCAAACACATCAATTGGAGCAGTTAGGATCATACTTATGCTTTCTGCTGGAACTAAAAGTATGATAGCATACACACGAAAAAAACAAAGAAATATTCTCTGTTGAAGCTATGGAGTTTTAGGAAAAAGGTATTTGTGCTAGTGTGTTGGAAGAAGCCTGTGTCTGTCATTTACAGAACACCTAGAGAGCGCCCAGAAACAGGCCAGCATCCTTTGTCAAGGGGCAAGGGAAGGAGCAATTAAATTAATTAAATCTGCAGCTGAAGGCTGCAAGGCTGAATCCCCAGGAATGAGAGGCTGGCAGAGATGTGCTGCAGCTGCTGCTAGGGGCACATGGGCAGGGCAGTGGGTGATGAGGATGTGGCTGTGGGCAAGGAGCAGGCTGAGCTCCCGAGGGGAAGCTCGCTGGGAACGATGGCTTAGGAAATGTGAGGAAGTAGACTGTAGGCTGCCATGTGGTCACAGGCTGTCTGCACAAGCAGGACGTTGTGTGGATTTCTCTGTAAATAAACTGAATTTTCCTAAAGAGAGGCCTTATTGTAAAATTCCATTTCCCCTCCCAGCAGAGTAATTGGGCGCAGCTCTGAATACCGGCTGAGCGCTCAAGTCAGAAAGCAACAAGATAAAGCTTTGAGCCTGGTACAAATGTTACTAAAAGAATCTTTTCAAGCCTATTCTGGAACATTACAAAACTGACTTCTCCTCCAGCGTTAGTCCCAACATTCGCTGCCACTGTTCTCAGAGGTTCCTTTCTTATTGCAAGTATGTGAAAGGCATAAACACGAGATAGCTGCTTCCACACAGGAGCTGCCTTTCATGCCTGTCAGTTTCAGAACAAAGTCCAACTGCAGATGATGTGGGAAAACCAAGCCTAAAAAACAGGAAATTGATTGCGAAGAAGTGGAAGGAGGCACCCAAGGAACAGTTATCTCTTAATAAGGTTTATTTATATTTCAGTATGGAAGTCATATACTGGCATTCGTTGTTTTTAAAGGGCTTGCATTTGGGAAGGTAGAAGAATGAAGAATAAGGGCAGATCCCAACTAAGTAATTGCTGGGCTCCTTATCAGCTTGCTTCATTCAGCTCTCAACCCCCCCAAATTGTCCCTCTAAAACTACTGACAGCATGCAAAAGCATAACACTTCTGTAATACCTCAGCACACAATTAGCCTGGGGAACTTACAGGATGGCATGTTTTTGCCTTATGATAAAACCCAGTACATTGCTAAAGGAATATTATTGTTATTCAATAAACCTGTGTGTCTTTGTGCTTTATTCCAAGATTAAGCAACCTATCATGCCACACTCAAAAGAGTACATTATCACCTGAACGCATGGGGATTTAACAGGAGAAAAGATCTCACTCTACACATGTGAGCACTGTGTAACTTTACCAATCATAGGGAGATTAGTCGCCATTACTTAGGGAGGTTTATGTTCTCAAATGTTTCAATCAATGGATGTGTCTTCAGTATTGGTAGAATTGGTCAAAAATACAAAACTTTATTTGCACTGTATGTTCAATTGTTACGTGAAAGTATATTTAATTACTGAAAGGGTTCTTTAAAAACAACTATGTTTTAAGTCTGGGAGACTAGGATATGATAGATAGCATATACTCAAACTAAATAAAAGTAACATTTGCACTGTGAATTATTTTCTTTTCCCTCTTGCTGGGAACATTCCCTCCATCCCTGCAAGTAACCATAAATCTTTTTCTGTAATGCTCTGCTAGCTTTAATAAGTACAGCACAGTAGCCAGTGCTGGTTTTCACTTACTGTAGCTGAATGTTAAGCAGCACTGCAAAATGTTAAGTTGCAAGATAACTGACTAGTTTTATTAAGACTCTTTAGGGAGATTGAGAATTAACAATGCTTCTCACCTCCTTCTTCACACTCCAATAGAAAAAATGCTAATTTACTATTAACGTAGTCACAGCTGTCTCCCATTCCATTTTCTCCGTTTCACAATTTGGGCAGGAACATATGTGCTGGCAGTGTGTGTCTTTGATAGAAAAACAGTTAGAATTCCTTTCAGCAAAGATTCTGCTCACAATACTTCATGCAAGAGAGAGAGAAAACTTGCAATATTTGGGATATAAAGAAACATGCATTGGAACTACAGTACCTTTGCTTGTGATCTTGTTGATAACATCCTGGTGCTTCATGGCCAAGTCCTAATTAGATCTACCACCTTACCCCTGAAAAACAAAAGAAGAATTTAATTCTCTTAACACTGACAGTGGCATTACGCACTGAGTGGGTGTGCTTGTGCTGCTGGATTGAATTCCTTGCAGGAGTCCTAGTCTCTGCTCACCCATACTGCCCAGATGTTGTAGCTGCAAGGAGGCAGGCAGGCAGTTTCATAGCACCTTGCTGGATTCCAGTTTGCAGACCAGCCCTCTGAGATACCTAGTGCCCCCTCCCTGTGCCTTTGCCCAGTGCTGTGTGTCATGGAGCAGCTGTCCTCTCTTCACATCCCTTGTAACTTCAGAGGAGGCATTGAGGGTGAGCTCTGTGTTCCTCCTAGTGCTGTGGTTCAGATGCAGCGGATCTGTCCTATGTTCACATGCACAGATCAGGAAACCATCTCATCAGAACATGAAACTTCCATGTGAAATTTGTTCATTCCATTGAAAAGGATTATCAGTCTGGAGCAGTTTTGCAGGTTTACCTTCCTATCACAAGCTGGACAAGATCCTTTTCAAAGAGACTGTCACTAAGCCAAATGATTCACCATCAAAACCAGTTCAGAAGACCCAAGGTGAGACCTTCCTTTCCAGCCCTGTCTGTGGCCACTGCAGGGACTGCTTCCCTCTACATCTTAGCAAATCAAGGCTAAGATGCCCTTCAGCTGAAGGCTGAGTGGTGGCAATGCCATGTGGAGTTCATATGGCAAGAAAAAGCCATGAAATATGAGACATCTGAAATGTGAACATCTATGCCAAGTTTCTGTGGCTGATTTTTGCCTACTCCTGCTAACCTGCCTGTAATCAGAAAAGACAAATTTCTGCATGTTTGTGGTTTCTGCAGCCCCTAGCAACCATGCCTTCTGGCAGCCTCCATAAGGGAGAGTTCACATCCAAAGGATGGGGTGAAGCAGAGCAGCTGGGTCTTCTTGAGATCTGAGTGAGCAATAGGCCCCACTAAGTATATGGTCAAGCACCTGGTTGCCAAAATAAATTTTAAAGAATTTTCAGGACAAGAAGGAGAGAGAAGGATGAGATTTTTACCTTTTGGGTATAAGAACCTCAAAAAGAACAATTAAAAAGCACGCATTCCTGTGTGTCCCTCAGTGGGACAGATGCATTTTCTATGTGACGTAAAAGACAGTTTTTTCTTCTACCACTAATTAAACAGATTTGCCTTGTTTTGCTTAGCTGAGTCGAAAGACTGATCTCAAAACAGGCAGGCTTTTTCTGTTAGCGTTTCAGCTCAGATCATGACCTGTCTTAACATCTTCATCTCCCAGGGTGCAGCATGCGTTCTGTTTGTTAGGGGAACAGAGGTCTGAAAGCATCCGCTTTGTGTTTTTTTTTTATAGGAGTTGTCTCCTGGCAGAAAGAAGAAAGGACTCTTTCCTCCTCTTGAGGTTTTGTGGACACTATGGGCTGTGTCAGAAGTGGCAGGACAAGTAGTCTCACCACTGCATTCTGGTTTCCTTATTCTAAAACTACCATAAGTAAATGAGACACTGGCCCATCTTTGTCTGGAGACTTTGGCCAAATACTTTGCAAACTCTAAAGTGCTTGCAAACCTGTAAAATACCTTGGGACTGCTCCAAAGTCAAATAACGTCAAGATAAGGTGACAGATTGCATCTAAGTCTGTATGTGCTTGTCCATTTGCTGCATTAGCTAAGTGGCCAATAAAGCTGTAGCAATAGCAAAGAAGAGATATAGGTGCTAACATTTATATGTAGAAGGGAGGGCATTCTGTAAAATTCTAAGGGAACACACTCAGCTTTGCTACTTGTGCAGTCACACCCCAAAAATAAATAAAAGATAATAATAAATAACGGTGGTTGTGCCTGATGTGTAGGAGTGTGTGGCGGAGTACATGGTCCTAGCAGCAGCTGGTGGTGTCTCATTACCCAGTGCCACTTCTGCCCAGTGATGGCTCTCCAGAGCTGTGGATGCAGTATGTAGTGGGCAGAAAAAGGCTGGCAGGTGCCACAACCACCGTTAATTTCTTTTGACGCTTGAGAAAAGGTTAATGTAGGTGAGCTGGGAGTAGGCATTGTATGGCCTTCCAGATGCAAGTCTGAGGTGACTGACTGTCAGCCATGAGGCAGCATGGTCATGCTGAGACTGTGATGGGCCAGCCTGAAGGGTCAGACTGCTCATATCCCAGTTGATATGAGCACAAAACAATGATGTGCCAGAGACCAATTCATCACAGTGTCAGCCTGGAGAACTGGTGTTACCACGACACATAGCAAGCACTGATGTACTTGTGTTTCAGGCTGTGTACACAGCAGTCCTACTGTCTCCCAAAACTAATGAATGTTTAATTTGGTTAATGCCTGAATACAAATTTCTACAAGGCTTCTAGAATGTGGGCAAATATTAAATAGCATCTGCCCCCCAAGATGCACATGCAATTGTTTCATCTTACACATAAAACAAACACAAACTGAGTATGTTAGCAGGCTTTAGCTAGCTGGTTTGTAACATCACCTTTCCTCAGATACAATAAGTAATTTCACTGGGATTCAAACTTTTCTGGCACAAAATAAACATTTAATTGCTTGCACATATTCTGCTTTTAACTGATGACTCTGTTCCTGTCAGAATACTATAAAGGCAAACAGTTTCAGTTTTCTGCAAATCTCAAACTCTACCAGCTTATGAGACTGGAGATACATTATTCTAGCAAGCTTAAAAATAATGTTACTTATGCTAAAAGCACTGAAATTTGATTTGATGACATACAGATACATTGTCAATGCCTGTATTTTTCCTGTATTGAAGGCTGATGTCATTCCTTAACCATATTTACGATGTTATTCCATCTTATTATCATTTTTGAAATGTCTATTTTAAATAAGTTGGGCTGCTAGATCACTGAAGTGAAATAGTAACTTTTAAATAAGCAACAAAATAATTTTAAGAACACGTTGAGAAACAAATGAAGCTACAAATGAGTTTCTGCTGTGACTGTAATTCAATTTCTCATTAAGTGTGATCAGCTCTTCCTCTCTTGGGGAGTGTGATAGACAGAACCTGTCATTTGCTCAACTACCAGATGTAGAGTTGGTGGGGCAGTTTGTTTTCTGATGATGATTGCTTTGGTTCATCAAATATATTAGGGCAGAGTAATTGGCTAATTACAAAAACAGTGAATTATAGCACTGATGGTCCTTTCTCCAGCACTACTGAGGACACATCATCAAGACTGCCTGTTCCTAATTCCTTTCATTCTAAAGCAGATGTAGAAGACAGCAAAGCCTTAATTCCTCTATCTCAAGCTATGAGATAATTAAATGTGCAACAAGTAAAATCCCTCTCTGCTGGATAGGTAAGGGCAGTGGAAAGGCCAAAGGTGGGAAAAAGTTGCCCAAGAGCTGGGCAGTCGAGCCATTTCTTAGCATCAAACCCTATCAGTCATAAAAGAAATCACCTTTGTATTCCTTTGCCAATTCCTTTTCTTGTAGAGTTTCAGAGAACCCAATGTCCTAAAGCAAAAACTTGAAGAGCCAGATTGCAAGTCAAGACTTGTTTATTGGGGCCATTTCTCAGGAAGGCTTTCAGCACTGTCTGAAATGGTTTTCTTGTATGCCTGTGGGTAGGTATTTTCCATCCATGGAAGAAAATGCAGAACTGGCCCTAAGAGCAGAAAATGTACAAACTGTACTCGAAAAGATGCAGCTTAGTGACTGATGGAAAATTTTCTTCTGTTAAAGTCATAGAATCCATAAAGGAAGGGATCTTTAAAGGTGGTTTAGTACAACTCCCTTGCAATGAACAGGGACGTCACAGCTAGATCAGGTTGCCCAGGCCCTTATCCAGCCTCACCTTGAAAGTCTTCAGGGATGGGGCATCAATCACATCTCTGGGCAACCTGTTCCAGTGCATCACGACCCTCACTGTAAAAATTTTTTTCAGTATATCCAACCTAAATCTACCCTCTTTGAGCTTGAAGCCGTTTCCCCTTGTTCTATCAGAGCAGAGCTTGCTGAAAAGTCTGTCCCCTTCTTTCCTTAGCTCTCCTTTAAATACTGAAGGGCTGCTATCAGGTCACCTCAGAGCCTTCTCTTCTCCAGACTGAACAGCCACAGCTCTCTCAGCCTGTCCTTGTAGGAGAGGTGTTCCATCCCTTGCATCATTTTTGCGGTCCTCCTCTGGATGCCTCATGGACCCCAACAGGTCCATGTCTCTCAAAAATATAGCGTGCATTCCATAGAACATGTTTTAAGGATACCAGTTCGGATCTTCTTGGCTTCAGTGGAGAAGGGAGGATTCAGAAGAGATTCAGGAGGAGAAAGCAATGCAATGTAAGATGTGACTGCAGTAGGGGAGCGCACTATAGATGGAATCTGCCTTGTAACACAATTGATAGCATGATGCAAAGTGAGATAAGGCAAACAGAATCTGTTTGAAATGTTCTAGGAGGGAAAAGAAAACTCAAAATGGCATGATGAAGAGGAAGGCCAGCTTCAGATGGATGTAGAGGTGGCTGTGTTTAGCTCATGCCGGAGGGAATATATATAAAGCTCAAGAAGCTCAAGCTGTAGGAACACTAACACAGTCAGGATAGGAGATTAGGAGCACCTATAAATAAGTAATGATCTAAGAACTGCCTAATAGGATGTGAAGGGTGAAGTGAGAGCTTGATTCCGATTCAGTTGGAAAACTTTAAGATTTAAGTTATAACTCCAAAATCCACTTTAAAACAGAAGTGCAAATGGAGCAGTAGATTATTCATGTCCTTCTTTTCTGCATTCCACATCTTCCACTGTGCTGCCCATGACTGTTAGTTCACTTTTGATATGTCCTTCTTGCCCAACAATGATTCTTCCTTTCCATCATCTTTCTTCCTAATTTTCCCAGACTCTTTCCTTCTTCCTGATTTTTCTAGCTTCCTGCTATTATTTTTTATCTACTTCCCCTATTCCCTTGCTTAGTTCCATGTCCCTTTTTATCAGCACAGTTCTACTGATAGCTTAGAGTTAAAATCCATATGTTGGATTTGCCACTGAC